CGCAACAATTATCGACTCGATATCGATGGATCTCGTGTCGAAATGATGCGCCGTTAAATATACTGTAATATGGTTTGTATGGGAATTGACGATATTAAACAAGATGGCTCCGAGGTTACTGCCGTGGTGGTCCAGAGGTTTAAGCCGCCTGCTTCTCATGCATGTGTTTTTTTTTTTTTTTTATGGAATAGGAGGCAAACGAGCAGACGGATCACCTGATGGTAAGCAATCAGCGCCGCCCATGGACACCCGCAACACCAGAAGAGTCACAGGTGCGTTGCCGGCCCTTTAAAAAGGAGTACGCTCTTCTCTTGAAGGTTTGAAGGTCGTATCGGTTCGGAAATACCGCCGACGACAGATCATTCCACAGTTTTGCTGTGCGAGGCAGGAAGCTACGTGAGAACCGCACAGTTGTGGCCTGCCAACCATCTATATGATGGGGATGCATATGCTGTCGTGAGGGTCGATGGCGAAAAGATGCGGCAGGTATCAGGTCAAACAATTCCTCAGAGCACTCCCCGTGGTATAAGCGGTAGAAAATGCACAATGAAGCTACATCTCTACGCATTGCCAAAGTGTCGAGCCGGTTTGAAACATCCGGACATCCAACAATCCGAACGGCACGCCGCTGAATGCGGTCCAGAGGAAGAAGCTGGTACTGGGGTGCCCCCGCCCAAAGATGAGAACAGTATTCCATGTGGGGCCGCACCTGTGCCTTATATAGAAGCAGGCGGTGGGTCGGGGTGAAATACTGCCTCGATCTATTGAGCACACCAAGCTTCCTCGAGGCTAATTTGGCCTTATCCTCTAAATGACCGCAAAACTGGACGTCGCTCGAAATATTGACACCAAGTATTCCAATACCGGCTGAGGCAGTTAGGGGGGTGCTTTGAAACTGAGGAGAGACGACCAACGGCAGTTTCTTAGCGGTAAACACGCAGACTTGTGTCTTAGTGGGGTTAAATTGGACCAAATTAAGTCCACCCCAATCAGAGATTCTCCCTAAAGAGGTCTCGATTTCAGACACGAGTCTGTTTCGGCTCTCTATGACGTTTTCCCGAGAAATGTTAGCGCGGCCGGTGTAGTAGGCATCGCCTGTGCTGTCATCCGCATAACAATGAATGCCGCTGATTTGCAGCATGTCATTGATATGGAGGAGGAACAATGTAGGCGATAGCACGCAGCCTTGAGGGACGCCTGCATTTACAGACATCAAGTCAGAGCATTCACCGTCGACGACGACTTTAATGCTTCTGTCTGCAAGGAAGTAGGAGACCCATTTGCATAATTTCTCGGGAAGTCCGTAGGAAGGAAGCTTCGAAAGAAGCGCTCTATGCCAAACCCGATCGAAGGCCTTCGCCACGTCTAAACTTACTGCCAACGCTTCCCCCTTAGACTCGATCGCCTGTGCCCACCGATGCGTTAGGTAAACAAGGAGATCACCAGCAGACCGACCTTTACGAAAACCGTATTGCTGGTCACTGAGCAGCTGATGATCCTCTAAGTAACGCAGGAGCTGGCAGTTAATAATGGACTCCATTATTTTCGAGAAGAGGGAAGTTATGGCTATCGGTCTGTAGTTAGACGGGTTAGATCGATCACCTTTTTTAGGGATTGGGTGGACTAAAGCTGTCTTCCAGGACGTCGGAACTACGCCTGAGGAATAAGAGAGCCGAAAAAGACGTGTTAGAACTGGGGCCAACTCGGGGGCGCACATTTTCAAAACAATGGGTGGGATCCCATCAGGCCCGCTCGACTTATGGACGTCAAGGGATAAAAGCGCCAAACGTACCGTGCGCTGGTGGAACCGCACATCCGGCATATACCTTCCGCACCAAGGCACAACAGGAGGCTCGCGCCCACCGTCATCCAGTGTCGAGTTGGATGCAAAGATTTTTGCCAAAAGTTGAGCCTTATCCCTTGCGTTATGAGCCAACGAATCCTCACCCATGTGCAGAGGTGGAAATGACGGCCTGCAGAAATTGCCCTCGATAGCTTTGGCGAGCGACCAGAATGAACGAGTTCCTGAAGGAAGGCGCTCCAGCCTCTCACCAATTCTACCGATGTGCTGCGACTTGGCACCCGCAATAGCTCTTTTGAAGGACTTGGAGGCAAAGTTATACTCCTTTTTTAGTGCACTGGTATTTACATCCCGTGCCACCGCCGCATCGACCCAGGCTTGGTAGGCCTCCTGCTTTCTGCGTGAGGCCTTTCTGGTAGAAGCATCAAACCAGGGCCGATATCTGCCACCGACGGGGACCAGAGAAGATGGGACGAAAAGCTCCATCCCCTGCAGCACCACATCAGCAACAGAATTGGCAGCGGCGTTGGGATCATCCTGCAAGAAGCAAGCCCGCCTCCAAGGGTAGGATGCAAAAAAGGACCGCATCCCATCCCAATCTGCCGACCTATAGTGCCATACACGGCGACCGCGTACCTCTTGTAGTCGCGGTGTGCACGTCCAAGATACAGAGCTCCGGACAAGGCAATGATCCGATGAGCCAAGAGGGGCTTCGACGGATACGCTGTAGCCGTCCGGGTGAGAGGTCAGCAGAAGGTCCAACAGTGAAGACCTCTGGCCTTCCACATCCGGGATTCGCGTGGGCACGGTCACCAGTTGTGTTAGGCCAGAAGCAAGAGCCAAGTCGTGGACAGATCTCCCCGCGTGGTCAGTCTTACTGGAGCAGAGCCAGTCGGCGTGATGGGCGTTGAAGTCGCCAAGCAAGACCACTTCCGCTGAGGATATCTGCCCCTGCACAAGATCTACAGCCGTCTGGATGTGGTCCATGAGTCGGTCAGTCTCGCTATCACCGCTATGGGACCTATATAGGCACGCGTAGACACGGGGGTGGTCGTCGTTATCTACACGCAGCCATAAGGTGGACAGGTCCCTACCTTCAAGATTACTGAGGCGACGTGAGCTGATATCGTCCCTGATGTACACGCACACCCCGGCCCTAGGCAGGAAGGAATGTTCCAGTCCATACCCAGGGTAGGTGAGGTAGGATGTGTCCAACGGAGACGATATCTGCGTCTCAGTCAAAAAGAGCAAGGCCGGCTTTGCTGTCTCTAGGTGGTGATGGACAGCATTGAGGTTGGTGTGTAATCCCCTTATGTTGCAGAAGTCCACATTCAGCGTGGCAAGGGGTGCCATGGTTATTCTGCTCTTGCCTCCAGCTTTATGATGCGCAGTTTTGCCCCCCCCAGAGTACGATGTGGGGCGGCCTGGACGTCCACGCTCAGGGTAGTTGAGTTCTGAAAATGGACGTCCAGAGAGGGATTCTCCAACGCAGTTGGTACCCTCCTGGGGTAGAAACTCTTGAATCAACTGCGACATTATGAGGGGGGGGGGGTTGGGCCTCCGGTACCCTCACTCACTCGGTGAAACACAGCGCAAGCGCTGTTTCACACCGGTTTTCTGTGAGGCCGTGGTATTACTCCGGTCGAGCCGGCCCATTCGTGCCGAAGCATGGCTCTCCCACGGTACAAATGTGTGTGCGAAACCTACCACCGGCAAGTACCAATGTGACTCTTTCCGAGTTATATGTACTTTCTAAGATTATTTAGACGCCATTGACAAACGGGGAAGGAAAACATCGTTAGGAAACCTAAGCTTATAATTTCTAATCATAAGTTTGAAATGGCCAACCCGCATTGAGCAAGCGTGGCGATTAATGCTCAAACCTTCTCCGTGCTAGAAGAAGCCTTTGGTCAGCAATGGCCACTTATAGGCTGTCGATGTTGATGTAGTGACTTGTCAGGAGATGGGAAATGGATTTGTCTTTGAGTTTAAATATTTCAGTACCTACCAGTCTAGATTTGCTTCCAAATTTCGGTACATTTTTGTTTAACTAAAATGAAAATTTGTATTAATTACAGAACTAATAAATACCTAAGTAAGAAGTAGGATAGGCAGAAGCCTACTTCACAAAACATTTCATGGAAAACGAATGTTGTTTCATATTTTATTTCACGCCTTGCTAATTAAATTAGTGGATTGTTCTCAAAACAAGTAAACATGTCGTGAACTTGAATTATATTGTTCTTATTTGTTCGACAATTCATCTCGGGAACGAGCTTCCGACATTTTTATTTACGTCACACGATTCACTGGCTCTTGTCTTTACGCACAAAGACAAATAAACTAATTAATTCCTCCAAAACAATAAATCATACATTCCATTATAATCTTTGTTACCAAGGCCATAGTGACGAGATTAGAAGTTAATGCGACAGTCAACTTGAATGAGTATTACTGCCGGTACTTGACGAGTAGCGTGTCATTATGGTACTACATTTAAGTACGACTGTAATTAAGATAAATTACACGTATTTTGATCTTTGCGACCTTCCTTTATATGTCAGGAAATACTGCGTTAGATTAAGTAAAAAACAATGTTTACCTAGACACTGAAAGTTACATTTAATTTTGTGCCACAAATTTCTCATTTTTATGTCGTCTTTGATAGTAAAATATATTAACTAAAAACAGCTGAACTTTTTAAATTTTGTTACATTTACATTTATTTAAAAGCTTCACGATACGATAACGCGCTACTTATTCTTAAAATATGAGATAGGCACTGTGGGAAAATGTCTCAAATGTCTGTTTTTACTCGTTTTGTAAGGCATACCAAAATCCACGAGCGGTCGCTTTATTCCACCTTAATATCATTGTCGTGTACCGTTGTCCGGCCACCACGTAACGGGACACTGGGCCCTAAGCATTGAATAACGCTCCGATTATTCCGATCATCTCGAATTCAAGGGGCTTCTGAGTAACCGATCAACTTAGGAAGTAATTCAATTTAATAATATTGATTCGACAATTAGAAGCATGAATGGATTAATGTGTATCTTGGCACGATTTCAGTTTGATGTAATTAAATATTCAAATCTGTGATTGATTTGATTAGATAAGAGTTGTGCGCGACTCTGTCCAATTAGTAGTTTGAATAATGTTAGGTGAGATGTGTATAACAATATAGGATAGTACATACCTGCGGGCGAAGAGTCGTGTGTCTTGAGTAATAGTCGTGTTGGTAGAAGCTGGTGGGCGACAGCGGCGGCCGATATTTCTTGTGGCCGTAGCCCATCGTGTCCATGGTGTGCATCTTGATTCACTACACTAGGCGTCACACCCACTAAGTCAGTTCCCGATCGATTGTCCGGTGCTCGGTAGATTTGATATTATCGTCACATATCGCCTGCTTCACTCTGTAACAACAAATTAATTGATATTAGTATTTTATGACGGAATGTATGTAGGACTTTCTTTGTGAGGTGAATTGTGGGATGGGCCGCGAGGCGACGCGAGCGCATGCCTTGCATCTAAAACACGAGGTGACGACGCGGTGTGCATAACTCATAAGTTAGGACTACAGTACTTACATTATGTGAAATATATGAATGTCATAAATACACGTTTTAAATAACATATCAGAATATTGTTTAAAACGCTGAAATGTAAACAAAGTCTGATAATTATTTCTGTGTTTGTATGTACTTTGGGCTCTCTGAAACGACGAGTCCCACGATACCAATTTATTTAGGCGCTATTCAAATATGTTAACGGCACCAGCTCCAGAGTACTTACATCCGAAGTATAAATTACGAACTACGAGAGCTTCGCTGCAGCGAATATTTACATAAAGTCTCACAGAAGTCGAGAGCACGGTTCATCGCTGTTTGTGGTAGAAACGAATTTTAATCGGTCAAATACCTGCGCCGGGAACTAGTTGTGGTGACGCGACATAACTGTAAAAATCGTAACGATGAATTTCATTAATTAAAACGTAACGACTCGACCTCGACACTGGCATTCGAACGACCAATAAATTCTACTCTATTAGCTTTTGCATTTTTATATTTATAGTTGTTTATCGACTATCGCGGTCTTAATGATCTGCTAATTTGATTTCGTTTATAAATAGTATACTATATACTGATTGATCGCCCACATTAAGTCGCTACTGTTACGGTACTTTACCATTTTTTGTGGACTAAATAGGTAAACAGCTTAATACGAAAAGAACCTTTCGAAGTATCAGAAAAATATAGCGAACACAAAAGTTTTTGATCCTCAAAAGGATACAGAAATCTTTTCCTCGTAAATGTTTGTAACGTTCATCAATTAATCTGCCCTGATCGAACAAATCCACCGTTCAAGGAAACTTATTAATATTTATTTCTTATTGTTCTGCGTTCCCTGAGAGTCGGTTCCATACCGAACATATATTATACTTGTCACAAATTGCTCACTGAGTAGCATAAAGTTGTGACAGTTCTCACGCGTACCACGCGGCCGGGAGGCGATGCCAAATGTTTGTTTTTGTCAAAGTTTTTATCTTATTGATTGAGTACTCGCCTACTCGGCCTTAACTCAGGGCCAGCCGTTGCACTGACTACTCAATTGTTGTACAATACTACGGATCAATGGATATTATACAATATTGTTTTTCCTTCAACGTTTTATCATAATAACTCACGGCTCTATTCACCGAGCCCGCGGAACAAAAACTGGTTGCGATGTTAAAATTAATTGTTGATTTATATCAGGAAGCTTTAGTCATCGACTTCACGTGTGTTCTGAGGCTTATCTGATTCAAGATTAATGTACGAAAAAAGCTGTATGGTGTTTTTATGGTAACCGTTTTAACAAAATGAGCAGGATTCTGAATTCATTTGCAGGAGTAATCACCTGTTACGAGCTGTGTTGTTCGGTGAAATGAAATGAAATAATATTTATTTCTGCAAGTAGGTTACAATGTAACACGTTTACACGTCAATCTTTAAATTACCAGATGAGGGTGCAGTATAAATAGACGTAAGTTTTTCTTTTATTTAAAGCTAGAGTTCTAGCTATAATCAGCTGAACATCACTTAAACGATCAACATAATGGCGATAGCATCACGACGTACTTGAATCTTACGTTACACTTATCTCACACTTGATCATGTATCTAAGTATAATGCCCTTAAATATTCCGCAGCACGTCGGTTCTACACTTACACATCGTTAACACGTATAGGTTGCTCAAGCCGGGGCCTTGTCCTGCATGGTCGTGCCGAGCTGACTCATGGCGGAGCATGGCCACCGTGGGAACTGCTTATCAGTGTGCTCTTGTGCGAATCATAGTCCAAGTAATTATGAACTGGTTATGCAGACCGGTGGCGTTATCTGCCCAGCCTTTTTATTGTTCAAGGGCTTTGCTATGTTCTGGGATACAATTGTACTCTTGTTCAATGGAAGCTAGATAAAGAATGCCTCAAGCGGTTGAAATATTTATATTTATTTGTTATTATAAATCTTCTGGTAAATGAATCATCCTGCTAGAAAACTTATGTTTGTTTCATTGACAATCCCTTTTTTTAATAGCAATGAATCATCTAAAAGCTTGAATATTTTAAAATAAAGCTAAATATTCGTCCGCGTGGTGTTGGTAAACAAAATGCAAGTTCAATGTATCCAGGTGCAGAGCGGCCTCGGCGCGGTCCAATGTCAATGTCACCTTTCCATTGAGTCGACACCGACAATGCTGCGCCCGCGCAGACATCGCTCGACGTATCTCTGACCCACGAATGCCGCTCAACGGAAATGTCCAATGCTAATCTTGTATTCAGATATAGTCGTTAATCCTTTGAATGTTATTAATAATTCAGGATTTTATTCTTTGTGTTTAGTATCAAATGTTTAGCTTTTTACATTACATTTAAGATGGACTTCGTGGTCAAAGTGAAAATATTGTTCAAGTCTCAAAATGTGGTTGTGTCACATTTATAAACATAGCTGCACTTTACTCGTTTAGAACCGGTTCAAATTCCAACAGCTTAGAAACTTGTTCGCAATAAATTTTCTTAGGATAGTAATTTTGCTGATTATATGCTTTCTTTTTAAATATATGTCAACATTTGACTAAACGTATAATATGTGGGTAATGTAACGCGAATCGAGTTGGAATTCGGACGACAACGGTACTTGCGCGCGAAACCGTCGGATTACACGACACTCGTGCTATACATTATACAACAGGGCTTTACATGTTGTTTTACATTACATGCGTTAGTGGTATTTGGAAGGAATCCACGCTTCCACCTAAGCAAGCATTGGAATATGTATTTTTTTAATCAGCTCTTTTCTTAGTATGGCTTATACCTGTGCGCTTCGTATCATATCGATTTTTGTTATATAAATAAACAATGGGTTGAAAGCCTAGATGCTGTACGATAAAAATTAATATTCTATCTTTAAATGACATACATACTTTAAAATGTACATATAAATATGTATGTCACAATTTAGTGCGAAAAAGTATGTTCTACGCTGCTACGACATTTCGTAGCAGCGTAGCAAGCTCATTAATGTAATTAAACTATAAAAATTGTAGTTCTTATGTGAGTGTGTAGAATTGTTGAATGCTTACAAGCGTCAAGTAGCATGGATAAAGGAGAAACTTTAGCCTATACCTCTATAATAGTTTAAAACTCAATACTAACAAACACCACCACACTTCATAAAATAATCCCTGCATATGCGACTCGTTAGCACAATTACCAGGCTGTCAGAGAGACGAAGGGGTAACAAAGAGAGGCCAGACCCATCCTCTATTCTATGGTGACAACAAAGAGCATTGGAGTCATGACACCGTGAAACAGACAGTTTTAATCGCAGGCTAATTATGCCCAGCGTTGATGACGCTGCGTTTCTACTAGAGCTCCGTAATACAATGCCACACTCTGGCACAAAATCTCTATTCTTTGATTTATAATCCTTACTTAATTTTAGTAAATCACTTAATAAACAGTAGAACTGTGTACCATTAATACAGACTCCTTTACATCCTATGATTATTTGTTAAAGTTAAATGGAAACCGAAATCCATGGTTGGTTTTGTAAGAGTTAAGAAGCCGTAAGACAATCCTAAATCAATTAGTTTCATATTACAATCTCATTGTAGGTAACAATTAAATAAGATAAATGACGAAACAGGGCCCGAGTTCCAAGAACCTTTTACCTTATAAAATTAATTTAAATGCCGGTAAAAGTAATCATTTGAAGACTGTCGAACAAAAAACTTGTTAGACTTTATAAAACCTACAAATGTTGCTAATGAAAATAACGATGATTACTTTAAATGGCGACTATTTTCAGTTTAAAAAATCACAGCGTTTTAATAGTACTTTTTTCTCGCAGAACCGTGCGCAATAGTTTATTCAACCCAAATAAAAATTTCAAAAAACATTAGGTAAATGTTGTGTTTAGAATCTTAATGACTGATTAATTGTTATTGATTTTTATCTGATACCAAACTTAAATATATAGTTGAGTATTACATTTTTCATCTAACTGCATTTTAAAATGTATTAATATTTTATTACGACAGATTAATATAGACGAGGCTATGTAACAAAATAGTTTTAGTAACACATTTTCCACGAACCTCCGCTTATAATTCTGTATCGCACAGCTATTATCGTAATCAGAAGCAAGCAGGCATTTCCTGATGATTACCAGAATCGTGACGAGAACCAGTCGTCCTCATGTCAGGAGCATCCGTGACTCCGGCAGCCTGGCCTCGCTGACGTCATCACCGACTATGATTACATGCAGTTGCGTTATATTATCTAATAGTTGGCCACGAGCGTAACAATTAATTCTAACTATTCATCAATCTAATGTCTAAACATTTATAAAAAATACAGAAAAAAAACAAGACGTCGGCTTTATTAAAAGTGTATAAAAAATGTTATTGTAATTTAAATATATAAGTGCTTGTAAACATAACAATTTGAACACAATGATGTATACGTGTAATTTTTAAGAATTAGCGATAGGCGTGTGTAGTGTCATGTTCAGCTGACGCGTTTGTCCTACGAGTTTGAGGGCCTCGGTGGTTTAGAAACAAAGTTTAGAATGCTGCAAATGTTATACGGTACAAAATACAATTTGTGAAAACTGTTCTAGCCATCCCGGGAGGCGAATGTAGTAGACTTGACATACATACTTTACACTCTAACACTTAACATCATTGTCTAAGCTACCTTTCTCGAAAATCCTTGAAACATTTGAAGGGTAAATGTCCCAGTTATCGTCCTAGATATATGAACTAACGATCTTCGAGAGACAGATGGGTACTGGGTCCCTGTAGCAATTACTTACCCTAACGGCTTGACTGACAAGAGATATGGATTCCTCTACATTTAAACATACATAACTA